CACACTTTACAAATCTATTATGATTAATCACCATTGTCTCCCGTTTTATAATATTTTGTAATCGAATTCACCCTAGCACGTTTGTCACACAAATACGACTATTGATTTTGACACCCCATAACTAATCTGTTATTCTACGTTAAAAATGTATCTGCCGCATAACTGGCCTTTATTGTAACGACAACAAATATTATATTTGATAACTGTAGGAACCTGAAGAGAAATTATTAAAATGTTTGTGATTATAATCGTAGTTAAATGTCAAGTGGCAAAGCAAATTAATGTCATATATAGAATAAGTCATAGGATGGATAGAACTTGATAAGTGGGGGTGTGCAATTATAAGATTAGTAGACAAATCGAATAAAATAAAAACATTAAGTAATATTGTGTGAAATTTAATAGCATGGAATTTAATGTTGCATAAAGGAATTGATTTAGAATGACAAGTGGAACAAGTGAAATAATACTGGGGACAATTAAAAGTGAGAGTAGTAATACTAACAATTGACTTAATAACGAAGAGTATACAAATTGAATAGACAAAAATTAAATTAAATTCCCTCACTGGATATAACTTCTTAAAAGCCATATATATACGATTGTACAGCCTGATGATAAATTCGTTGAAAAGAGTCTCTTCGCTGAATCATTTGTTTTGATTTTCTATATGTTACAATGGGAATTTTCCATGATTTAAAGAATAACAAATGTTTTATGACTGTTCACCCACACACCATTGTATACTGCATATACACATATATTTTAACAAAAGTAGAATAATTTGAAAATCTGTGGTCAGGTTTCGATCACAGTTCATACAATTTATGTTTATTATACACGTTGATACCTGTTGCATGATTCACATGACTGGACTTGGAAATTTTAAAAACAAGAGATATCCCCCTTTTGATATATAAAACTCTATTATGTTAATTTCGATTAATTTCCCTGAAGAAGGTCGAACCAGATTGCCGAACAAAACGTTGGAATTAATCATTTCAATTTCGCTGGAATTTTACAAATATAATATATCTTACAAGTGTAAAAGAATAAAAATTAAAGAAAATAGTGACCTTAGGGCATCATCGAAGCACCTGTATCACGAGGCAACTTGTCAACAAAAGCCTGACATTCTTGTCCAATAAAAATCAATCACCGATTAGTTATAAATAACATCAGCAAAAATTCAACTCAATGGTGAGAAATTAGAGAGGATATTTTTAGAGATATTGATATCTACCGTTAGAGAGAAAATACCTGTCACTATAAAACGTTTCAATGTCATATGGCCTTATGAAAACCAGTGCATAGCTAGCTTTGTTATGATTGAAAAGTTAAGTAATATGCTTTTTTTTCAGACATATGATGCTTGTTTTTTGTGTAGTTAGCTAGCTGTTTGCCTACTCACAAAACTTATAGAAGCCTCTTTCTGTGTGAATCAATGAGCTTATCTAATTTTTTTCATCAATGATATATTGGATATTGTTATCGAAATTGAAGTTGGGACTTATCTACCTTGTTTATGCTGAATAACACAAAAAGCAGTCCCCCTGAGCATGTGACGCTAAGCACATTTGAGTAATAATCATAATGATTCAATACGGATTATTCAACACGAGAGGTCAAGGCCAATCCCCTTCCTTTAATGTGCGAATAAAACGTGTACCCAGAAGAGGGCTAACGCGAAACGTTGTCAATAAAGACAAATGATTCACCGAAGAAAGTGTTCTTGGTCGTTTTATTCAGTTTTGGATATCATGCACGTTAAAATACTTCGGAATTATTATTATTACCCTTTGGTTCCTACCTAGTGTATCATAGAGCTTCATTCTGTTCTCTGCAGCCTGGCTGGCTGCAAAACTGTCAAAATGTTTTCATTTCCGTCCAACATATTCTCCTCCAGGTCAGCCTTGGAGGCTCAACTGATCTCTTCACGTTCGGCAACCACTCGAACGCCTGGAATTTGGTGTCACTCGACGGCCTCCACAGCGTATGTTCAACCTTTCTCTACTTCCCTCTGCACATTTGTTAGGCAGTGTGGGCCTCACTCGTTTGTTACCATAATCCCAGTTGGGTAATCATTTATGGCTCTCTGTTTTTGAGTGTGGAGCGAAGGCAGATGCTGATGAATGTCTGAAGTCATCGTAAATATATTTTGTGGCACGCACTCCAGGTTCTTTAACCTTGTCGGACCACTGATCTGGTACTAGTGTAAAAATTTTGAATGTTGTTTCTTGGACTAAGCGGATTACTCTTCCACACTTATTTCAGAGTAATCAACCTCCAGCTTGCTTTTCCTATCCAGCCTTTGATATCCGCATACCTGTGGACTATATATGAAAGTAGTGACTTCTCCTGGTTTCGGATTTCTCCAGTTGGTGATGTTTGGTGCTCGTTGTTATTGGTTAGATATCTTCAGCACCTCGGTATTCTTTGAGTTCACTTAAAGTATTGTCTTCTCTACCTATTTCTCCAACTTGTTAGTTTTCGCCTGTAGATAATAAAGTTTATATGACGTCAGATAAAAATCGCCAGCTAATTCCGGATCATCCAGCGTCTGCCTGTTTCTTGACTCCTCATATTCTGTTGCATGATCTATTCCATCACAATTAGGCATGTCATCTCTGATAGTAGACAGCCCTGTCTTACCTGCATCTTGATTTTAAAGGCTTTCCTGAATTCTTTGTTGTGAAATACTTGATTTGAAACGTCATGTAGGTCTTGAATGAAATTTATTATAGTTCGTGGCAGTATTAAGAAAAAGGAGTTTAAAACACCGGTAATCCTTCCACACACATGAGGAACCTCTGGAACCTTGCTTAGAATTCTTAACAAAGCAGGAATAAAAGTGGCATTTGAAAAATATTGTATCTGTTTAAAGATCCCATAGGGGAGCATTAAACCCGAAGAATTCAGTTTATCTAACAGCCTGCAATGATTGGCAGGTCAGAAACAAATACCGAAGTAGCACAAATGAATCAATAAGCTCAGTAGAGCACAAAAAGCTAGCGACATCCAAATTAATTGATTTTAGCAGAAAAAGAAATCTTTAAAAGTAGCTCACTTACAGCTCCACTCGCTGTTACATACATCGATACAACAGGCTGGAAAACGCGAAAGTCTTAAACCCTGATACAACAGATTGGATAAACAGAATAGTAACAGATGGTTTATTTATTGAACCACCTGAAAATCTGGAAAGCTATACCACCCCAACGACAAATAAAAATGAGGCAAGAAAGCTACAAAACTCAAGTTTTGAAGTTGTGTATTTACAAATGACGAAATGATGTGTCAATTCATGGATAATCCCCATTCAGGCATTAATGAAAACAAAACACGTAGATCAGCGAAGAGTCTCTTTTCGGCAGCGAATTCATTTTCTTAGCTATACAATCGCATATATATATGTGTTATTTTATATTTATGTGTACATTAATTTTGTCAAACAAAAATACAATTGATTATGGTTATTTCAACTAAACAGGTGAAGATTGGTAATTGGAGTTATGTAATACAAAATCAGTCAAGAAAATTAGGTATTAATGAAATTAGGGTAGTAACAAGGGTGATGAGTTTTCACAAACAGTTGTTAAAAGAAGTTATGTAATAATATGAATAATTTGATGAGTGAGTTTTACTCAGGATGCACATAGGAACAAAGTAGAGAATACGAAATTACGTAAGAGTTCTAAATGAATACAAGAATTATAAGCAATTAAAGAACAGGCAAAGAAACAAAATTAAGTCATCAAAATCAAAAAGTTGTTACCATGACAGTAGAAGTGGTTGAGTAATCCTCTTTTCTATGCACAGCTCCGGTTTTTCTATGTGAATGGCCAGAGCTTCAGCGATACAAAGAAGACGAAACCCTATTGTCTTTGATAGGTTATTCTTGACTCTGTAGATTACTTCGAATCAGGAGGCATTTGTGGAGATGGAAAGATCATTGTTAACCAGGTGTTCTATTTTCGTAATCCTTATTGCACTACTACTGCTTTTTCGCAACCATGCGAGATAGTGTTCTTGAATCTTCTTGGACAGAGTGCGCGTTGAACGACCGATGTACCTGACTCCACAGCAGCAGGTGAACTGATATATGCACATAGAAGTGGTCAGATGCGGGATTTTATCCTCGAGGCTTCTGCAGATCAGTGAGTGACTGGAGAACACTATACTTAGCGTGGCTGCAAAGAATGTTCTTCTCAGAGATGATATGATCCTTCTCTTGAGAATATCGTTTGCTAAATCTCCCTTGAAATCCAACTTCATGTAGAGTTTCTTTTTAGGCGCAAGCGAAGTTTCATTTCTTCAAGTTCTTTGTTTGATATTTTTGTCAATGAATCTTATTGGGTATCCATTTTGGAAAAAGATTTCTCTCAGAATATTAATTTCATTATCATATTAAATATATATATATATATATATATTGTTACTACTACTAATCTAGAATATTGTATGTATATAAACATATATATAATTGTAGAGCCAGAAGAGGAATTATCGAAAGGGGGATATTTCTCAATTATTTGTGTTTTATAGATGTCTGAATGAGTAATTTTGCTATATCTAATTCTGTTTCTAGAAGATGGGAGCTACAGATGTGTAGCAAATTAACCTAATCCCTATCATTGTGTATATCACATCCAATATGAAATTAAAAACTACCACAGCGACAAAGTTTCGTCACTGTCGTACCACCTGAGCAATTTAATTATACGTAGTGTTAAGCTGAATTGCACTTGTGTTTGTTTTGCCTACAGACTCCAATCATATCGAAAAAAAACAAAAATTTATTTTCTAAACGTTTTGTTTGCTACCTGACAAATTCTTTATCGAATAATCTATGTGCAGGTAATAAATTTGAATGCGCGCGGGCGCGCACACACACACCTCTATAAGTATATTTATGTTCAAGGTTAAATAGTTGTCAGCTGACTTGAGACTGGCACGTAATATATATATATATATATATACATTTCTTAATATTGACTGATGCATTATTTGATGTGTGCAGATAAACGAAAATGCTGTGCCTTTTGGTAATTACATTCCTCTCGTTGATACATTCACTTGAAACTGAAAATGTGAAGGGTAAGCTTAACAAGTGAAATGGTTCATTAATTTCATCCGTGTTTTAATGATTATCAACTAACTTAAATATTTCATTATGGATAAAATGTTATTTTGATAAAATCACACAGTGTTGTTATACAGTAATATTTACTGGTGACCAAGTTTCGAGCACAATTTATTGCTGCTCATAATCATATCAAGGCACTACTCACACACAACTTTCTGGCTTCATTTAAATATACATGAGTGGAAAATGCATTGGATAATTAGCTACATTGGTAGATTGTAAAATAAAACGAACTGAAGAAGGTAAACTGCACACTAGCGGCGTTTATGAAAAGCCAACGCATTCTGTGAATAGATATTGAAGACTTTAGTTCATCGCACCAATAGATAGAAGAATAGCTGGTTGGTTTCAAATAATTTTCCTGTAGAATTCAATAGGAAGATCAAAACAGGTCAAAAGCAAAATAAAATTTGTGGTGAAACTAATAATTATAACATAAATAAGAGAGAATATAAGGCATCTACAGCAGCTTTGCCACATAAAGAGTGGATATCTGAGACCCTAAGTAGAATTCGAAATAAACAGGAATTAGGGTGGAATTCAAACCTACAAACTCACTCAGGTAGGACAAGCTCTGTAGGTTAAAAGACCCAGCTGACCCAATTAGACAGTTATTATCATTATTGTTTCCTTTAATTCCTACAGGAAAATAGGGCTTCAGCCATGCGTCTCCATTGCGTTCGGTTCTCTGCTACAGTCTTTACCTGGCAACAAGTCTGCACACACGTTTTCATTTCTTCCTCACATGACCCTTCCAAGTCACCCTTGGACGACCAACTCACCGCTTCCCTTTCGGGTTCCAGTCGAGCAATGGCTTGTCTAGTGATGTCACTTGATGATTTCCTCAGAGTATGGTCAATCCATCTCCATTTCTTCCTGCCTATTTGTTTCACAATCGGTTCTTGCTGTGTTGGTTCACTCCCAGAGATCCCTGTTGCTGATCTTTTCTAGCCATCTGATCTTGAATATTGAGCGAAGACAACTGTTAATGAAGGCCTGTAGTTTGTTTGAGGTGCTCTTTATGACGCGCAGTGCAATTCTCTGATCCGTGTGGTAGCTCTGACTTCACATTGGAGTTGAAAATCGGGATCTTATTTTTGATGCTGAGTGCTGTTGACCTCCACACAGACTTGAGAGTAGTGAAAGCTTGTCTTGCTTTTCCGATTCTTGCTTTCATATCCTCGTCAGTTCCGCCTTTAGTTGAAACGATGCTTCCCGGGTAGGTAGGTGGGTAGGTAAAGGAGGTTGTTTCTTTCAGGTTCCCTCGATTTATGCTGATTGTTGTCTGTTGTTGTTGTTGCTGTTAGTGGTGTTGGCCAGGAATCTTCATCACCTCTGTTTTCTCTATGTTCACCTGAACTAATTCCTGTCTTTGATGCTTCTTCTGCCAACTTGTTGCTTTTCGCTTGCATATCTTCCAGTTTGTGGGAAATCAGACAAATATCATCGGCAAAGTCCAGATCCTCCAAGTTTTTTGTGTGAGTCCATTTTATGCCTGTCTCCTCATTGCCCGCTGTCTGTCGCATCATCCAATCTACTGCAATCAGGAAAATCAATGGCAATAGTAGGCAGCCTTGTCTTACTCCTGTCCTCACTTCGAAGGATTCCGTAAGTTTTCCGTTGTGGAATACTTGGCGTGCATCATTGTCGTACAGCTGTTGGATGAGATGTACAACTGTTGGTGGCAATTAGACAAAATGATTTTTTTTTTACAAAATACCTTGTAATGTCTGTGAGTCAAACTAGTAGATCAGGAATAGTGAGATAATCAAAAAATAAGAATTTAGCTAAGGTTGGAATGGTTGATCTCACAAATGTAAGTGATTTAGAAAACAAATCAGCAACCTCACTGCATGCACTTACTTAGAAAGCAAACAATAGGGTGAGTTACGGTCAAATTCTAAAAATGTAATACAGGTAGGTGTAGAGAGATTGATTACTGAATCCTGGTTCATCGGGTTTACACCCAACACATGCAATAGAAGTTACTCAATGCAAATACCAGAGATATGGAAGATATTAATGCTACCAGTCAAATCAGAGGATAATAAATAATGTTAAAATGTTCACTATAATAAAGGACTTTTGTATTTCCAAATGAATGAAAAACAAAACGATATTGTTGTTTTTACTGACGTTTCGCTATTTAATGCTAATAGATTTATCAAAGTATTATTAAACCAGAATTCTCAAAATCTCAGCATATATATAACAAAGAGTTAAGAGGTGAGAAAATAAATTTAGGTTAAGTTGAAAGGACATATTGAAGGTCAAAATAATAATGAAGATCACTAAACAAAATAACAGAGGTAATAGTACATCTGTTATGAGATCAAAACTAAGTTTACTAACTTGATCATCGTTCGTCAGTATGGGGTCATTCTTCGTTGTTAAATTGGTCAATTGGTAGAGATAACAAAACCAGGTGAAGATTGTTGGATTTGATAAGAGTGTAAAACTACAAAAGCAGTTTGTGTTTACATAGTGAACTTGCATATCACATTCGTGTTGATTTTGTCATTTGATGGGGGCGGCGTGTTGTAACCAGGTGAAATTCTGTCTTGGTCCATCATTCCTATTCAGGCAATTTTGATTCCACTTGATATGAAGTGCTTCTGATATTAGACGTTCTTTGGGATTCCTGAAATGGTTTTTCTGGATTATTATTTCATTATTGTCAAAATCAATTTTGTGACCTGATTCTGTAGCATGTAGACTATCTATGGCTGATGATTTCTCAAGCTTTTCTAGTTACCTAATTGGATTTCTCGGTGGTTGGTCGAACAGATGCTCTATGGTGTTCATTTCTTCTGATTTTGATTTCTCGAGATGTTTGTCCGATGTATATCGTATCACATTCCAAACATTTTTTATAGACACAATTAGATAGAGAATCTTTATGGATTCGGTCCTTTATATGGACAAGGTTGTTTCATAATGTGTCTGATGTTTTGAAGAAAATTCTGATTTTGAGCTTATTGAGTACTATTCTGATATCACCTGACGTCTCTGCTCTATATGGAATGACAACTTTTGAGGTCCATGTCTTCGGAATACGTTTTCTCCCATACTTAATGTCAGTGTTGATTTTGTTGATGAAGTTCATTGGGTAGTTGTTAATGTATTTAAATTCACATTCTAACAAGTGACTTGATCTTATATTACTGATTTTATTCAAATATCAAATCATCAAATTTTACCTATTTATGTGTAAATGAAGCAAGAAAGTTGTGTGATTATGAGCAGCAATAATTTGTGCTCGGAACGTGGTCATCAGTTAATATTACCGTACAACACTGTGTGATTTTACCGAAATAAATTTTTATCCATAATGGAGTTACACTCTACCACCACAATGCCCAAGTTTTATCCTTACATCAACTTAATTTATTGTTTACTGATTGTCTGTACTGTAAAGTTTCCATTACACTTCTGTTTCTTTGTATAGTTCCTATTTCAGAGAAAAGTATTACACCACCAACTATAGAGTTACCCTAGTAAGTCAACAGTTATTGAGCTCTTTAACTCGCTATTATGAATATTTGTTCATGATGCTAAAAGAATGACGATATACACATATATCACCTTGTAAATGACTGTGAATAGTGAGTCAGTAGAGGTGGTGTCGTGAGTTATAGCACTTTCGATTGAACCGGAATCTGCTCTTTGCAGCCCTTCTGGTTAGTTTTCACTAATTTGAATTCATATAAATATGTACACAGGAGTGGTCATATGCAAGAGTTTGTCCTGAGTGAATTAAACTCAGTGGATGCCTGTGAGTGTGCGTCAAGTTACTGTCATTGTTCCCTTGAGTTCTGAGTGCAGAATATGACTTCAACAAAACATCTCTATTCTGTCTTATTCTTTACGGTCGTCTTTTTGTGGTACTATGATTGAACGTGATCTTCTTCATGTGACTACCGGACTTTCCACTCACTGTTTCCCAACCAGGTTCCACTCCTTAGAAACAATTATTCTGATGTATCTGAATAAAGCGATAACATATTTTATCAATGTCTACCAGAACCGCTCTCAGAAATGTTACAATGTCAGTCCTTTTTAGAGAGCTAGGAACTCTCCTATTTGAGGTGTCAGTCGCTAAATCTCCACTGATGTTTGGTTTCATGTCAACTTAACTGTATTCTTCTTCCCTAATGTTGTCTGCAAACCGCTGGTATTCTGACAATCACGTTACTGTCGTCATGATATCAGCATGGAAACTAATTTTCTGTGTAAGTGGAACAGCGAATCCTTGTGCTGCTCTAGCATTTGTCTCTGAGTCACATTCAAATCTCCTATACAATCAGTAAATTCAAAAATCGAAAATGGTTATCCTCACAAATTTATCAAGAAACGTATGACAAAGAAGGCCGAAAAGAACTACTCACTATCTGTAAACAAGAAGCCCCTTTATATACGACTACAATTCAAGGGCGATATATATAGTGAGATAATTACGAGGAAATTAAGATAGTCAGTCCAAAGAACTTTTAATGTTGGCGAACTACACATCTTATTCTCTACAAAACCGATGGTACTACCTCGACTGAAAGATGAAGTACCTAGACCGGTCACTTCAAATTGTATTTATCAATTCAACTGCGCTTGTGGAGCGAGTTATGTTGGCCGTTGCTCTAGGAACTTGATTTTTCGTGCTCGAGAACATATCCCACTATTGCTAAGTGAAGGCGTAGTTAAAACTACTAACAGCTCAATATTCGACCATCTGGTGCAAACCGGTCACAGAGGCAGCGTGGAAGAATCCTTCTCTATAATATACCGGATGCCTAACAAATTACCAAAATCGTCGAAGCACCGCATGCTCCAAACAGCAGAGGCTATTGCAATTCGCCTCAAACAACCAGTGCTCTGTGTCCAAAAGAAACAAGTCCAGCCCCTACTACTGCCCTGGCCCTCAGTAGAGACTATAAACTCATGAATTTGTACCATTACCTTCCCTAATTCTTCTGACATTCAGTTTATTTTATGTTGATGATGTTCAGCTGTAATGTAACAATATTATTGATTTGATGTTATTTAAACATTAATGTCGTTCATAAGACTAACTCATTCATTCACTATAATGTATATATAATTGTAGAAGCTGATGATGAATTTATCGGAAAGAGTTCTCTTTGTTCCGTGTCTATTCTTTTGAAAATTCAAAAATATTTCGATGTACGAGAAAACATATACCTCAACTAGTATACCAGGCAGAACCAAGCCCGTGGAAAGAAGAGAGGTAGGACGTCGGGCTAGCGAACCTATTCCTCCCCCCCCCCCCGAAAATCAATCAAACTGCTCCAGAAACGTCAACCCGCAAAAAGATATTTGAAAGACAAAAAATATTTAAAGGAAGCTACTTTTAAATCTTTCAAAAACTGTGAATAGGTCCTCCCTGAAGGGACAATTTGAATAATGTGCTCAGTCGTAACACTTCATATAGACTCCTCTTCCAAGGGTCCCTTTGAAACCATTCAGGATAAAATTCGCAGTGAATGACCTATTTTTCTCACTACTCGACATCAAGTGAAGTATCACATACACTTGTTACAGAATACTGGTTGGCAGGAGACTACTGTATCATGTGAAGAAATAAAAGGAACGCACGCAGAAAAAAGGACAGCACATGTAAGTTAATGAATGCACTGAAAACAATCTCTCCTCCGTACTGGTCACTCTTATAACCACGTCTGTATTGGATATATTATTATACTCTATAATTCAGTCACCGAATGTATGAATTCAATAATTTTCAATTGTGTGAATTCTTTTTGCACATAGTTTCGAAGCTCCCTACCCTTTTAAGTGAGTCAAATATTTTTTTCATGCAGTGATGTTGAATGAAATGGAAATTCATTTACTTGTTCTCTAGTATACGTCATGAATCTACATACCACCTACCACTTTGATAATATCTTCGAACATAAGAGTTACTTTGTAGGGATTTGATTTGTTGCAACTATCACCACAGATTGATATCAGCTAGAGAACCACAGAAGATCAACAGGAAGTGCCGAACAGCTGTTTCGTCACCGTTTTGGACTCTTCGGAGTGACGCACCTGCAGGGATCACGCTTAGGACCTCCCAGTTGCAAGGCAAACTTGTGGACCATTCAGCCACTGGGACTCAACTCAATGACTTATGAAATCTAGCTCCTACGAATTCATGATTTCATCGTGACTAGCTCGCGACAATATCATCGGTGAGTATTCCCTCGCATGTCTGACTGGATGGCTGTCACTGGTCACGACTTCCCGCTAGAACTCTAGTCAAATTTGACCTCTACTCAGTCACTAGAGAACATCAGACTAATTTTATAAAGTCTGTTTGTAGGGATTTAATTTTTTAAAAGTTTGACCATGGATTGCTGTCAGTCAAACTTGAAGCACTGATAAGAGGCGTTGAAGTTGTCATAATTCATAAAGTGTTTGCTCTGTATACAGTGTGTATTAATGTCGCCTTCTATCATTATTATTATTATTACCATGAAGCAAATGGCTAGAATTTTTCCTGTAAGTCGAAACAGCTTTTCGTTTCGTTTTATATTTCACGCAAATGATAAACATAGAAAATTCAATTTAATATTAACATTACTAGAAATTCTGGACTCAAAACAGGTTGATAACGTCTATCAAATTCCCTTGGTACATTATCCTGTTTTACAAAATCTATAGAATAAATTCATTAAAGATAACAGTACCATGACGTATACCATAAGATCATCTTTTTGGATTAGTTGATGTAATATTGACAATCTGTCGCCTCACTTAGACAACTCAAATCTTTAATAACACTTTGATCGTTGAGCATTTCACTTGAGGTGCCTTTTTCCAAAAATCTAAGAATTGCAGTGAAAAGTATATCGCTGTCAACTCTAAAGTGATTAAAGTTAGTGTCATTTGTTCTTAATTACCCGAAGCATATGCTCTATGTACTACAGTTATAGTCACACTTACCGGGTGAGGACAGGTGGTATTAACATTTCACCAATATTAGAATAAGATCCGTTGGTTAAAAATTAAGTTCTTAAGCCAATGAGCCACATTTCTGTGCTGGCTGATATTCACAGAGGACAGAGATTCAAAATTTATGAGCGTCAAATGCCAGTGAATTTTAGTAATTACACATTTAGCGACACTTATAATTGTAATTATAAATCTAACGTTAAATTTTCAATGGATTGATAGAAACACTGGATGCTTTATACCTCCGAAAAGGGTTTTGATTTTGACAGAAATACTCCAAAAGTTATTTTCTTAAACTCAAAGAGTTGAATAATGGCTGTGTCTTTATTACTGCATAGGAAATTCTTTAATCTTGGTTGGTAAGTTTGAAATAAAAATGTGCCGAAATTCGAAAGATATCGGTAATGCACGACAGTCTCTACGTTTTCAACCATAGACATTCCTAGACATTTTTTTACATATCCAAAGCATTTTTCTAGACATTCCCTTATACATATATTCTTTTGGTTGGGGGATTTTATCATGAGCTGACATCAATTGGAGAACCATTGGAAAAACACAGCTAGAGTACTGGACAGCCGTTTTCGTCCTAGTTTGAGACTCGTCATCAGTATGCACACATCGGGGTTTGAACCCATGAACTGGGTAGTAGGCAAGCTGGTAGAATATTAGGTCACTGAGATCTAATACAATTGCCCATGAATTAGAACTTCTGCTAATTCATGATCAGGTCTCGCCTACTGACCAGGTCCTGGGTTCAAACCGTGGTTTGTGCTAACTGATGAAGAGTCCCAAACTAGGACGAAAACGGCTGTCCAGTACCCCCAGCTGGTTTTCCAATGCTTCTTTAATTGATGTCAGCTCATGATGAAATCCTCCAACCAATCAATCGAACTCCCTACAAGACCAATACTTGAAGAAATATTCTTTTCATGTAATGTAGATAATCACGCCGATAGTTTTGAGTCAATCAACAAGAGCAAGGAGAGTTGTTCTAAAGCCTTTCCGTGATTTTTCTTGAGGAATCATCTGTAATCTATACTTTCCCAAAAATTTCGAAATTTTAAGTTTCAAATGTAATAGTCTGTCATCAAGTTTTTATTTGAAGCAACAATTCGTCTATAAGTATGGTTAATTACACTATCCTAGTGGTATTCAGAATCAGCAATGGTTCCACTGAGTATTTTCCATCTTCGTATGCTTCACAATTCTATGAGCTGCAGGTTCCTATTTCGCCAGTGTTGATATTCTCGCCTCAGCAGAATTTCTTAGTCAAGCGTTGTGGAACCATAGGTGTGACACGTCGGATGATGATGGACACCAGTAAATATCTATATTTACAGCGAAAATCTCCATTCAGAGCAAAGAATATTCTTTTCGATAATTTCCTCTTCTGGCTCTATAATTATATATATATATATATTATCCTAGAATAATCGCCACTAATAACATTGGTGTATTTTAATACTATCAATATGTTAAGATCAGCGAAATTACAGTTCAGGAAACATGCCTAAGTCATAATAAGTATAAAAATTGTAATAGTAAATGGAAATAAAATAAAATAAAGGAAATTAAGGGTAATTAGAACCTTGGTGGCCAAGGTAAGAATGGTGTCTGAACCAACACCCTCCTTTGAATACATAGGTTAGGCTTGATAATGTAGATTCCAACAGCCAGCCTCAGTAATATGCAGTAGAACTCTTGGGTGAGGTAAGTTAAGATTAGTTGGCGTGTTGTAAATGACTTTGAAAGTCGCCTGATTGACATCAATCTTGTGTTCTGTATCCACGAGATGAGGTAGAATAGCGATGAGAATGAATTTTTTTTGTCCTTTACTCAACCAACCACACACGATGGTGTTCGGAAATCCAACGATAAACACGCCTAACTGTACGGCCTATGCAACTGACTGGCTCCAAGGGAGGAGTTCAGTTGGTAGACAAACATAGAAGAGGCGAAATTAGGCAGTTTATCTTTTACTCCAGAACGAAAATAGTAGTGGTTTTGAAAACACAGCACTCAATGCTCTTTTTCCCTCATTCCTTGGACGTTGTCTTAATATCTCACTGGTGTTATCCCTGAGGAACTGAAGTTGTAAGAATAAGGCCTTTTTCGGAACTGTTGGTACTTTGGCATATTCTGACTTCTGATTCAGTTTCTTATTTGAATAAGGCATTCAGAAGACAAATTTCGCGAGATGATATTATTTCGTAGTTTCTTTACAACCTTTTACAACCACCGTGCGTCGGTGGCACAGTGGTTAGGACTCTCGCCGACCATGCGCATGGTCCGAGGTTCGATCCCCCACCGAAGCACACCCGATATCTATGGTTGGCCTGTAAAATTTGGGCTACCGATATCCATGCTGAAAATGTCATACTTGTACTGAAAATGCGGTGTGGCATCAAGCTGTAACCAAAATAATAAAAAAAATAAAAAAAACATGGTTAACAATAATAAAATAAAGTTCATGACAATTACTCAGTTAAATAAAAAACAAAAGTGCATACTAATGACCAATCATATTTACAATTAGTCATGTAGTCCATGGTAGGCGAAGATTGAAGTCTATTGTTTTTGTACAAACAGTTTAGGCTGTATGTGATTAATCCAAAGTGCTTCCATTGCCTTCAATAACTTTGAATTAGAGTTATGTGAAATTATTGTGAAACAGTCATTAATATTGATTTTGTGACCTGACATTAATAAGTGTTTTGCAATGGATGATGCTGTATTTCTATTCAGATTAATCGCATTGGGATTTTCTACATGAATTAGTAGCATGTTCTTTTCGATGACACTGGAACATTCTGTTGGTTCTACATATATAGGTTTCGCCGCAGCTGCAGGTGAACTTGTAGATAGAATTTTTCTGGCTGACCATTCTCACTCAGGAAATGTTCAGTAATTTTAAGCTCTTCATTACGACATTCCTGAGTGCAGATTGCTCTTGTTCTGTGAACCAAACACTTTATTAGATTGCGTTTGTATTTCAAAGTCACGAAGCTGAATAAATGAGTATACTGAGAGTCAGTTGATGTAGGGTTTCTGCATATATATTTATCAGCATTTTCAAGAGCTACCTTCATATTCACCACAATGAAGGCCTACATAAACCACTGCAACATCTTATTTCACATTCATGAAAACGCGTTTCGTTTACCCGATTTCATATGATCTTATTTATTCACATAAACTGCTAAATTGTGGTCTATAAATCATGTCTATTTTCAAATAAGCTGAAACGTATCACCGTGAATGGAGGAACACCACTGTAGTATATCAAAGCGTGCTTAGGACACCAGCAATATTGTTTCAAAAGACACGCTGATGAACATGTTCCCATTTGAATATTCTACATACGAAGAGGGTTTTCTAAGGATTATATACGATGTGTGAAAGCACTTCTTCAGAGTGAAGCTGTTGTCAGCATTATTAACAATATTATTATAAGATTAAATGCATCTTTCTGATATCTTTATTACTCTGCATCTAGTGTACTCGGTCGAATCTGGTAAGTTATTACTATTCTCATTAATACGTAAATTTCTAGTTCAGTGTTGAGGAAATAGGGCACAGGCAAATTAAGTTTGTGAAAACGAGTGACATGTAAAATGAATTGATCATTGTGTGGAAATAATGATATTTTGATAGCGTTATTAGAAGACGGAGAATATCTGAAAAATGTGATGCATTTGCACTATACATTTCGGCAGTCAATATATATGGAGAAATTAAATTAAAAAAGTGACAAAAAAAGAATTAAGAATAATTAACACAAACGTTTGGTAATCCAATCAAATAAGGGTTACCAAGGTAGGTTAAGAGTAATAACAAACTGTTTTTGAATACACAAGAGGGGGCTTAAGTTTATGAATGGCTATAGCCTCAGCGTATTTCAGTAAACGTCCTTGACCGTTTTTATAGATGACCTTAAAGGCTGAGTTAACATCAACCTTATGGTTCATCTCGATTAAATGTTTGGCTATAGACGAAGTTGGTAGTCTGACACCTGCATCTATTGGCTTGTCAGAATTCATCCATTTTTCTAACCATTTTGAGATATGCTCTCCCACCCTCATGTGCAACGCGCGATTACTCCTCCCCATGTATATATGACCACACATACACACGGAAATTGGTAAATTGTGTGGGATGTGATATAATCACTTGTGCACTTTTGAGGTCTGCAGTGAAGCATATTTTTAGCCTTTTCGACAATTACAAGCTGGGCTGCATAGTAGGTTCTACGGATGATGGAATTCAACATTTGTCTCAAAATCCTACTATTTATTTCCCCATTATATGGTAATTTGATGAAAATCTTTTTCTTAGGGACGGTATGGATTGTAGGTTTAAAAACTAATTGACTTCTACACCTGTTTAAAAATTTCAAAGGATATCCGTTTTCAACAAGAGTATCCATCAATATTTCGTTTTCTTTGTCTATAACATCAGCCGTGCAAATACGCTGAATCCTCTTAAATAGACACTTCACCAAGCCTCTCTTATACTGTAATGGACAGAAGCTGTGAAAATTAAGGTATTGCCCTGTCCAAGTGGGCTTTCTGTAGATAGACCGTCTTATTGAGCCATCGTCTCTTCGACTTAGAAGTATGTCTAAAAATGCAAGCTGGTTGTGACTTTCTTCCTCGCATGTAAGACTAATATGATTCCGTACAGAGTTAACAATAATTAAAAGAAATAAGACGTTTTGGAGAGTAGTTTAATTCATAGTGTGAAACTCCTCTATCGAGAAACGAATGTTGAACTTCTGCAGATTGAAAGTTAGCCTTTCGAACTAATGACTACTCCTCAGTTATAGCGCTGCAGTCAAACAACTCTGTGGGTATGCATTCACTTCAAATCTCAGTGTAGAGATCTGTTAGAGATGATTAGTATCGATCAGAGACAAATACATTTACCACATGTTACAAGAAGTGTTGAAAGTTTAGCATTTGTTTCCTTGAAAGAAGAGTTTACATCGAGGAAATTTTGAAACACTACAACTGAACATATTCACAACGAAATAGTAAAAACAGTAGATACAACTGAGACGAACTGAGGATTTGATATAAGAATTGTCTTTTCTAATGAGATAAACCCATTGTCAGAATTGTTAATTAGAGAGTGAAAACTGTAATTAGCAGTTTTACTAATATAGCACATCTTGTAACACTGAAAGCGGCATACAGTTAAACATGCCAATATATATGAAGTAATAATCTCATAGTGTTACTTCGAAGCGTATCCATTGATTCACGTGTACATGATGAACCACTCACTCCTGAAAGGACAAAGGCTCAGATCGGTGAGCACTGTATGAAGTCTTCTTAGTAAAATGATTAAAATAATGAAGTGACTTTGAGAAATAAATGTCAAAGAAAACAGACATCATAGAGTTTCTGTTTGACAACTAAGGAAGGCATTGAAAAAAGGGAGGCGTGGAAATTCCTGAACCTAATTCATTAATTATTATTGTTTCGTTTAGCTCCTAGAGGAACACAGGGCTTCAGCCGCATGTCTCCATTGCGTTCGGTTCTCTGCCAACGTTTTCACCTAGCTCCACGTCTGCCAACATGCTTTATTCTCATTTTCACGTAACCTACTCCTACATGTCACCCTCACACTGATGATCAACTCGCCACTTCCTATTCGGCCGTGGTACGCTCGAGCAGTGGCCCGGCGTGTGATATCACTGACTTGATGGTTTCCTCAAAGTATGGCCACAATCCACCTCCATTTCTTCCTGCATATTTGTTTCACAGTTGGTTCCTGCTGGGTTGGTTCGCTCCCAAAGATCCCTGTTGCTCATCTCTTTTGGCCATGTGATCTTGAGTATTCAGCGGAAACAGGCTTCCTGCCGATTGTCTCCAACCATCTGATCTCAACAATTCACAGTGCAACGTAGTAGTGAGCCACCTAGCATAGTGGCCACATTGCAAACATGACTGATAGAATTCAGTCTGCACCGAAGATAGGACTAGACACATTACACTAGTTACTGACTACTGTGCAATCAAAAAAGCGGAAACAGCTGTTGGTGAAGGTATGTAGCTTGTTCGAAGTGGCCTTGGTGAGGCGGCACCAATTTTCTGATCTGTATAGCAGCACTGGAGACAAAAATCCTGGTCATTTCGACAACCATTGAAAACTTGGGAGTTCTGGACAGCTGTCTTATCCTAGCTTGAGACCTACAGGTGTAATGATGGTCAGGGTGGACGGGCTGCGAGCTTGATTTCTAACAGGAGGCTACTTGATTTCAACCCCAACGGGTTCATACAGCTAAAGATTTCCAAACTGTTACAAAAAGGCTTTCAAGAACTCCATAGGCTTCAATGTTTCTCTGATGAAGGTCATTTAGTGACCAAAAATAAAAATTGAAGAGTTTTAAATACTCGGAAGGCTTTGATTCATAAAAGTTTCAAAGGTAGGGGGAGAGACTGAAAATTTTGACTAATGCCGTTGATTTATTCTTGATACTTCTAATTATTTACGCTCTTGAATAAGTCTTATGTTCACACTTTATTTTGCTTTTGATTTCTCAGGGATGTCGGTACTGGAAACTTCTTTTCGAAAAATTAATTATAATAATAAGAGGCATATTCATCTTTCTAAATATGTACTGGAAATAAGCAGAGAATGTTGAACAATACTGAAACGTCTTCCATAAACCAATAAATTTCGTCCTTGTACTGTTCTGTAAAAGCGGATAACCTGAAATTCATTTTTTGGTGTTTTTTCGAAAAAAAACTTGATCTGAATTGTAAATTTGAAATATACACTGACTACCCAAAAACAAAAATGATTAAATAATGAAAATTTACTCTGAGTTTCTTCTTCTGACGTTATTTCAAACTTACTGAAGTATTACTTTTTATAGAAATAGCGAAAACAATAATCTATTCACTTCTGAAAAATCGGTATACTTGTAGATCCATTCAAAACTGCGGTCTTACAATGATTCTCGAACAAGCATGCGGGTTTCCGAATGTGTACGACTTCCTTTATTTGCCATATAAATCTCAATACGTCTAGCTGACATCATTTTACCTCATACATACGTGTAAAACTGGGGAACTGTAGGAGAATATAATTCTAGATTAGATTCTTAGTCGATTATGTATCAGGCAAAGAAGAAAATATTTGAGAGAAGAATATACGTTCCGATAATTTCCTCTTCTGGCTTTACAATTAAATATCTGTATGTTTATACACGTAGAATATTCTAGATTAGTAGTCAATAACAATATTCGTGTTTTTTAAACAATATCGATTTGTTAAATAAGATCAGTGGAATTACAGTGCATTAAAGATGCATAAATTATAATAAGCATGAAAATATAATAGCAAATAGAATTTCATTTAAAATTAAGGAAATTTCTACAAAAGATTGAGGATCATTAGAACCTAGATAGCCAGGGTGAGGACAATGTGTGAGCTAGCCTCTTTTGGACACATAAGTTGGGCTTCTTAATGTGGAACCCGACAGCTAGCCTCAGCAGTATTTAGTAAACGAACTCTTAATGCGAAGTTAATATGCGGTAAATGACTTTGAAAGCCGCCTCGTTGACATCCATCCTGTCTTGTGCATACACAAGATGAGGTAGAATAGCGCTACGAATAGATTTTGTTTGTCCTTCACTTAATCACGCAGGGTGATGTTCGGAAATCCGATGATAAAGATGCTTAACTGTACGGCCTATGCAATTAACTGGTTCCACAGGAGAAGTTAAATTCGTAGATACACGTGGAAAGGGTGAAATTAGGCAGTTTATATTTTACTTCCGAACGCAACATAATAGTGGGTGGTTTTGAAGTCAGCATAATAATTCAGCAGCACTGAATGCTCTTTTTACCTCATTCCTTAGACGTTGTGTTAATATCTCAGTGATGTTATACCTGAGTAACTGAATATGTAAGAATTTATATATATATATATATCAAGTATTGGTTTTGTAGGTATTTTGTTTGATTGGTTGGAGGATTTCATCATGAGCTGACATCATTTAGAGTGCCATTGGAAAACCTGGGATTAATATAGTGTTGTCGCGTCAGTAGCGTTTGGAACTTTTTATCAGTACGCACCCACATCATGTGGTTCGAACCCAAGACCTTCTGAGCTATTCTGTAGGCTAATAAGCCACAGGGACCAGATCCATTGGCTGGTGAATTTAAACATTATGTATTCATAAATGTTACAGTGATGTAGGGGTAGCAGATGTTCCAGATGTCCAGGACAGTCGTCGAACCACGTCTGTTTCACAAATTTTTAGTTTCTATGATAAATAAAGCCGTATCATGTGGGTCCATTGCATTAATGGAACAAAACATTTAGACTAGTTGATCCTAATAGAATAAGGAATGTATAACAAATGGCCGGTTATGACGCTATGTGCACTTACATGCAGCTGTCCAATAAAATTGAATCGGGCATTATTTTTAAAATGTGATACAATAGAGTGGAGGGTAAGTTGGATGTCATCAATTTCTTTCATCTTGTCCATCTGGACATCTCGAAATTTATTCTAGCCCAACCCCGTCTGAGAAGTAAGCAGGAAGTCGGAGGACTATGGTAATCAGGTTCCAGAGTGGCGTAGTTACAATAAATGTATTAATATAATGTGGCATCTTATTGCCTGTTGACAAAGTGTCCGATTAACTCGTATTCAGCTAAAATGCAGCTAAAATTGACTAAAGAAAATGCGTCATTTATAATGCAGATATGTGAATATCTGGGATGTGGTGTGTGATAAATTATTATCACTTATTTATAATACGGAGAGAATTATCTTTCATTATAGTAGGTCACGTGGAACTTTCTGTGATCTTTAGATTGATGCTTATTGACACAGACATATTTAGGTTTCAGATTATTCGGAGAATATTACTGCTCTGTTCGAAAGTAGGGCTGCCTATTCCCCCACCTACATAGTGCATCTAATTTATCTTATTTTAAAATATGACATCAACTCATATCATATATTCTCAAGAATTCATAAAACTTTTAAAACCAAGTGACTTTTCAAGATTTTAAGAAAGCTGCAGCGAAGAAAGATTTCTTTTCGAAGAAGTCATCAACTAGGCTGTACATTCGTGTAATTATAAAATAAATGGGTGGGTGGGAAAGTTCCAGAATAATTTCCGGTCAAGAGTCAAATTAATAAAATTACAATTAGGAATTAAAATACCATAATAAACAGTGGTGAGGGACGGATAAAACTCAAACAAAGTAGCATCACAATTACTGAGAAGATTGACATATTGTGCAATTGGAGGTTATAAATGTAGAAACAACGAAAATAGACAGGATGTTTGGATAAGAATTCTAGTGGGATCATAACTAATGTGATGAATAACTGTTTATACAATCAGGGATTAAATGTGTAGAAATAATAAAATGACAAAACAGACAAGAAGTTCGGATATGAAAATATGGTTGTGTAAACAAGGATTAAAAAACTTAAGAATAACATGAATAAACAGGAAGCTTGGATAAGAAAGTCAATGGGATAGTCACTGTTAAAAGAATTACCTGTTTATGATGACCATGAAAGGGACAAAGGTTGGACTTATTCATTTTGGATACATAGCGTTGGTTTGAACATTTTGATAGCTAGTACCTCGACTATGCCCAGATGTCTTGATTTTACTTCCTTTGTATATGAATTTGAAAAATTTCTCGAATGGCGCTGAATATCCTGACTTGACCAGATGTTCTGTCACTGAACTATGTACATGTTTTCGTCCTCCTTTTACTAGCTAGGCTGGATAGTGTTCACGAGCACTTTTTTCAATTTGGCGCCCTATGATCAAATGTGTATATTCCGTGATTTAAGAAAGCTAAGAAAAGATTCATGGTGGATGGCTTTGTTGTCTAAAACGGTCACCTTTATACTGAACTACTGTTCCTGTTATCGTTAGTACAAACTACCGTTCTCTTTCCAGTAAGTTTATGCATCTGCAATCTCTCCTATCATCTGATACTTATCACAACACGGCTATAATCACACTACAAGAACAATTGCTCCATGAGCTCTATGATGATAGTCTGGTCTCACTAAATGGTTCCATATTATTCAGACAAGACTGACTTTGTTTCAAAAAGAAATGCGGAGGAGGAGGAGGTTGCAGCTTTTATTCATTCCCCGTGGTTGATTACACACTGTGTATGCTTTACATTCTCGAGTGCTTTTATTGATTGTATTACTGTCACATGTCCCAAACACTTATTAAGTTATAAATTCATGATCCTCTCAAGCATTTATGTTACACCTCGCTGTGCTGTTTCGGATCCGTCTGATTCTGGAGATAAATTTGCCATACTTACCGCTTCTCATCTTGAAAACTCTCTGTCAGTAGTCACCGGTGACTTCAATTCCTGTGGCCGTCTTTTCTTTGAACCACTTAATCATGTAAGTATTGTAAAATTTGTTACCTGACTTCATGAAACACTGGATTTAGTGTTCACAAATGATGTTGGAATATATATGGAGCACGCAAACGTGCTCCCAAAATGAACTCAGATCACTGTATTATTCGAGTGTTGCCCAAAATATTTGGCAGGTCACACTCAAGTGCCTTCTCACACCTTTCTAAGAGAACCCACCAGAGATGCTACTCACAGGATAATATACACAAACTTAGAAACATGCTGAATGATACTAACTTGGAACCATTTACTGAGCACACACTGAATGATACACTCACAAATAATATGGGTTATCTTAAATTCTGCTTCGACCTACGGTTTTCTAAATAGGCGCTACTCAAAAGACTTGACCGTTTCTCTTCTCCTCGTCTCAAAAAGCTACGAAAAGAAAATGAGTTGCTGTATAAGTCTAAAGACGAATCTGTTCTAAAAAGGATAAACATACAGATTAAATCAGAAATCCAAAGGTTGAATACAATCTATAACTAAAGAATCTTGTCTTGCAAAACTCCCGAAAACATGTGGAACCTTTCCAATTTAATTATAGGTTTTAGTAAGCAATGCATCCCCTCTGTTGATGTAAATACCCTCAACAAATCTTTCAAAAGCTCTCCTGAAGATGTTTTAATCTCCAAAAGAACAAATAACAAGGTCATTGACTTTCATGGTTTTAACACTTTTGATGTTCTTAAGTGTTTTAAATCTCTAAAGCCTTCCCACAGCCTAGGTCCTGATGGTTGTACATGCTGTTCTTCTCAGCAGATGTGCTGATATTTTGTGCTAACCACTCACAAACATATTCAATGCTTCCTTTTCAAGTAGTGTTGTACATGCTGCGCGGAAAGGCATTGAAATCATCCCTGAACCCAAATCAAGTTCTGGCATTATTGTTAAATTCAAACCTATTGCAATCGCCTCTCCTTTTTTGAAATTAATGTAGAAATCAGTCTTATTAAACCTTGTACCCTCTCTAAATAGGTTTAATGATCCGAAACACTTCGCTTATTGGCAGAGCAGAAGTTCTTTAGATGCTGCCACTGTATTACATCGTAACACTGTCTCCTCCTTAGACAAAGGGGCAGTATGCTGTGCATAAGGATGAATCTTTCTCTGCCTTGATTACTGAAGCTGATGTTCCTCAATGTGCTATTCCCTCCCCATTTTATTTTCCCTTCCTTCATACATGACTTTCC